ATGTGTGCATGTATGTATGTATGTTTTCATGCGTGTATGTAGGTGTGCACGTATGCGGGTATGCAGGTATGTATGTAGGTGTGTACGTAGATATGTATGTGCTACGTATGTGCTACGTAGGTAGATGTTTGTCTGGACGGATGCATGTATGAAATTTGGCTCCGAGAATGCAAGAACATGCAAGATACTATGGCATAACTATAACATATTACAATGTAGTACAGACAGTATGCGCATAGTCTACGGCAAGCTTCAATATAACATTATATGTGTTAACAGTATAGCATCGTATACAATTAGAAGAATAGAGTAGAACATAATATAATCGAATACAGCAGAATCGAGTGTACCATTGTTGTTTATCTTTTGGACAACAATTGAAAACGTGCAGAACATTGGGTACATATGTATGTGCATGTATACAGAAAGATTTTGAATGTAGTCATATTTATGTAATTACATATGAGTATGAGTATGAGTACATACATACTTATAATATATATATATATATTAGTTTATGTATGTGTCTGTCCATGTAGCCTTGTCGGCTTGTCGCCATGCTGTTGTTTTCTGTCAGTTTCCCCCCAAGGGATCACCTCCTCCCCTGTCGGCTTCGGTGCATTGGGGTCTGTCGCCCTCTCCTTGTGTACATATGATTGGAGTTGGGCAGGGATCCATTCCTCATTTTCCCAGATGGGATTGGGTTTGGCTTTGCTCAGTGTTCCTTTCTTCGGTGCGTATGGGTGCGGCTGGTTCGCCCCTCCCTCACCCGGTGTGGCTTCTTGAGCAGTGCTATTCACATCCACTAAGCGACAACAGATCGCGACCTCGAGCGACCCATCCGCGAGATGGTTGACTGTCTTGAGATGCCGAAGTGAAACCAAGATCCAGACCCCTAAACCCTAAACCCTAAACCCTAAACCCAAACCCTAAGACAACACCCACGAGGATCGCAACACCGGACCACCCAGTCGGTGTGAATGTCGGCACGTTGCCCTGAGATTCCTAGCCGCAAGCAAAAGCAGCAGCGACAACTTCAACCCCGAGCCATCTTAGCAAAGTCCCTGACTCGTTTTCGAGATAATTGAGATCCACAGACGGCAAAGAAACATATATCTTTCTGTTTTTGAATATATACACACACACACACATATATATATATATGGTAACCCCCCCCCTGGACCAACCTCCGCCATGAAACGGATCATGTCTGTACTTGTGTTGCTGCGAATTGATATCGAAAACCCTATAAATACCGATAAATTCTGTGTTGGTTCTTACGGTCTTAAGCTGCAATGGGTCGTAATACAGTCTCAAAAAACATGTTACAATTTCGTGATTCTATTTCTCGTGCT